CAAAGTTGCAAATCAGCACTCCTTGTGCATTGCCTCTTCCCAAAACACATGCATTGTAGACACAGCTCCAGTGTTTAATCCTCCTGACAGGCAGGAAGATTTTTCTAATGTCCAACCTCAACCTCCCTCGCTGCACTTTAAGCCCCTTGCTTCTTGTCCTGTCCTCAGAGGCCGAGAACAATTTTTCTCCCTCCTCCTGACACACCTGTTTAGATACTTGAAAACAGCTCTCAGGTCCCCTCTCCTTTCCAAATCACACAAGCCCAATTCCTTCAGCCTCCCCTCACAGCTCATGTTCTCTAGGGCTTTCCTCATTCCTGTTGCTCTTCTCTGGGCCTTCTCCAGTTTCGCCACGTCTCTCTTGAAACGCGGTGCCCGCAAGAGGACACAGTATTCCAACTGAGGCCTAATCAGCATGGAGCAGAGTCTCTGCCCTTTCCTGTGCGGCCTGGGGCCACTTCAAAAATTCCTGAAGAGCCCCCCCAGCAAAAAGCAGGTCGTGTGCGACCATGTCGACGCCGCCGCAGTGTTTCCAAGGGGCTGCACACGCGATTCATCGGGATTCAATTGTGCAATCGCTTGCCGGCCCTGCTGGGTATCCCACGACCAGCGCCTCTCCCTCAGCCACAAGGCCCCTGGCCCTCCCAAAGACAGCTCTCCCATTGCTGGGACAGGGGGTGCTCTTGACAGTCCCTGCTGGCTGCTCCCCAGCACCTTGGTACCTGCCAGGGGTCTGCAGATGGATCCCGTAGCTACCTGCTCCATTATCTCTCCCGGCACAGACGTTAAACTGACTGGCCTGTAGCTCCCTGGTTGCTCTTGTGTCCCTTATTCATTCCCAGATGCCCCGCCCCAGAGGTGGCTGCATCGCTGCTCTGCCCATGTTCCTAGTGTAGCCCAGCCCTGCGCAGTCTGTGGTCTGATCGTCCCTTTTGCTTCCTTGGCAGAACTTATCTCATGTGATGAGGACCCATCGCTCCGGCTTCTCCTCCCCCTGCCAGGTACCGTCACTGCCTCCGACCCGAACGTGGGGGTCTCCCCTCTCCCGGCCATGCCAGGGCTGGGAGCTGGGTCCCCCTGCTGGGGGGCCTGGGAAGGGTTTGGGTGAAATCTCAGGTTCCGGGACCCCAGGGTAGAAGAATGTGACTGGGCCATAGGGCAGCTGGTTCTGATGCACCCCCAGTTCGTAGGGCCTGTAGCCCCAACACGTCCCCAGGCCTGGCGCCACCTGCCCTGTGCCTGGCGCCACCTGCCCTGTGCCTGGCGCCGTGGAGTAAGACCAGTTATCAGACCTGGCCCGGAAATGGACGTTTCCATTTGGCAATGTGGCCAAGGTGGTAGAAGCACAGAGGATGAGGGTGGGCAGGGCCCTCAGGAGGCATCGACTCCAGCCCCGGTCCAAGGCAGGACCCACCCAACTCAACCATCCCAGCCAGGGCTGGGTCAGGCCAGGACTGAAACACCCCTAGAGATGGAAATTCCACCCCACCCTAGGGAACCCAGCCCAGGGCTGCCCCACCTCCAAGGGAAATAGGAAAGTCTGTGAGCAGCCTCTTCCAGGCCTCCTTCCCTGACCCCATAAACCAGCTCACCCAGCCTTGTCCCCTGCAGATGGCCATCGCCTTCCACAACCAGCGCGCCCTGGACAGGGCCCGCGCAGACCACGCTGCCTTGCTGAGGGAGAAGGTGAGTCTGGGGGCAAGTAGGGGCTGTGCTCCTAGACGGGAACCCCAGGGAACCGCCCCACCCCCCTCCTCACAGCTGTGGGCAGGGAACAGAGTTCTCATCTCCCGCTGCCCTGCAAAGATGGAGACTCCAACCCTCGTCCCGTCTCAGACTGGGGTGGGGGGAAGTGTCTGGGTACAACAGGGCCACCCCCCTTCTAACAGCCTGGCCCCTCCTCTCCGCCCCACGCAGGACGCCCTGTCCCGGCGCATGGCCGACTGCCTGCGGGTGGATCCGGGCGCGATGGCGCAGCAGCTGGGGGAGCAGCGCAGGGCGGTGCTGGGGCGGTGAGGCCCTGGAGCTGGAGCTGGAGCTGGAGCTGGTTCGGGAGGCCGAGACCTTCCTGCAGACCTACAGCGAGCGCCACCAGCGTCACGCCAGCAACCAGGGAGCCCTGGACAAAGGCCGTGCAGCCCACGCCAAGTTTCTGGAGGAGAAGGTGCGTGGGGGAGGGGACGTGCCCTAGCCCAGTCCCTGGGGAAGATGGGCGTTAGAGCAGGAGACGGGAGCTCTCCTCTCTGGCTCCCTGGGAGGAGGGGGGAGAGTCCAACCCAGGCACAAAAGGGGCCTGGTCTTGGATAGGGAGTGGGGGGAAGTTCCTGGGCTCTAGCCAGAGGGCCCATGGGCGGGACGGGGCCACCCCCCTTCTAACAGCCTGGCCCCTCCTCTCCGCCCCACGCAGGACGCCCTGTCCCGGCGCATGGCCGACTGCCTGCGGGTGGATCCGGGCGCGATGGCGCAGCAGCTGGGGGAGCAGCGCAGGGCGGTGCTGGGGCGGTGCCGGGAGGAGATGGTGGAAGCCTGGCCCCTCCTCTCCGCCCCACGCAGGACGCCCTGTCCCGGCGCATGGCCGACTGCCTGCGGGTGGATCTGGGCGCGATGGCGCAGCAGCTGGGGGAGCAGCGCAGGGCGGAGCTGGGGCGGTGCCGGGGGGAGATGCAGGAGCCGGAGGAGGCCCTGCTGACGGCGCTGGAGCAGGAGCTGATTCGGGAGGCCAAGACCTTCCTGCAAACCAACAGCGAGCGCCACCAGCGTCACTCTGTCAATAAAAGAGCCCTGGACAGAGCCCGCGCAGCCCACGCTGAGTTTCTGAAGGAGAAGGTGAGTCGGTGGGGCCGGGTCTGTGTCCCAGCCAGGGAAGCCCAACTCATCCCAGCCAGCCCCACGGCGGCGGGGGGACTGGTGAGTTCCAGCTCTGGCCCCCATGGGGACTGCAGGGATGGGACACTCCAAGCCACGTACACCGGGGCCTGATCTCAGCCAGAGGGTCTGTGCAGCGCCTGGCACCACAGGGCCCTGATCTCACTGGGGTGTGGGGGGACTGGCTGCTCAGGGCCCATGGGCGGGACGGGGCCACCCCCCTTCTAACAGCCTGGCCCCTCCTCTCCGCCCCACGCAGGACGCCCTGTCCCGGCGCATGGCCGACTGCCTGCGGGTGGATCTGGGCGCGATGGCGCAGCAGCTGGGGGAGCAGCGCAGGGCGGTGCTGGGGCGGTGCCGGGAGGAGATGGTGGAACCGGAGGAGGCCCTGCTGACGGCGCTGGAGATGGAGCTGGTTCTGGAGGCTGAGAGTTTACTGAAGACCTTCAGAGAGCGCTATAGGAATCACACCACCAACCAGCACGTCATGGACAGCACCCGTGCAGAGCACGCTGCCTTGCTGAAGGAGAAGGTGAGTGTGGGACACGGGCTGTGCCCCAGCCAGGGGAACCCCAAGAATCCAACCCAGCCAACCCCACCAGCTACGGGGTTTGGGCAGGAGGCAGGAATTCCTGTCCCCAGCTCCCAGGGGGCTGCCGAGGTGGGAGGCTCCATCCCAGCACCAGTTGGGGGGTGACTGTGCTGTGCCCCGTGGTGGGGGCTGATCCCAGTTGGGGGGTGACTGTGCTGTGCCCCGTGGTGGGGGCTGATCCCAGTTGGGGGGTGACTGTGCTGTGCCCCGTGGTGGGGGCTGATCCCAGTTGGGGGGTGACTGTGCTGTGCCCCGTGGTGGGGGCTGATCCCAGTTGGGGGGTGACTGTGCTGTGCCCCGTGGTGGGGGCTGATCCCAGTTGGGGGGTGACTGTGCTGTGCCCCGTGGTGGGGGCTGATCCCAGTTGGGGGGTGACTGTGCTGTGCCCCGTGGTGGGGGCTGATCCCAGTTGGGGGGTGACTGTGCTGTGCCCCGTGGTGGGGGCTGATCCCAGTTGGGGGGTGACTGTGCTGTGCCCCGTGGTGGGGGCTGATCCCAGTTGGGGGGTGACTGTGCTGTGCCCCGTGGTGGGGGCTGATCCCAGTTGGGGGGTGACTGTGCTGTGCCCCGTGGTGGGGGCTGATCCCAGTTGGGGGGTGACTGTGCTGTGCCCCGTGGTGGGGGCTGATCCCAGTTGGGGGGTGACTGTGCTGTGCCCCGTGGTGGGGGCTGATCCCAGTTGGGGGGTGACTGTGCTGTGCCCCGTGGTGGGGGCTGATCCCAGTTGGGGGGTGACTGTGCTGTGCCCCGTGGTGGGGGCTGATCCCAGTTGGGGGGTGACTGTGCTGTGCCCCGTGGTGGGGGCTGATCCCAGTTGGGGGGTGACTGTGCTGTGCCCCGTGGTGGGGGCTGATCTCATTTCGGGGTGGGTCTGTGCAAGGGCTGGCACGCCAGGAGCCCTGATCCCAGTCAGAGCAGGGTGGGGGTTTGGGGGCCCTGATTTCTATAAGGGCCAGTCTGTGCTGCACCCCTCCCCCCCGCAGAGGCAGCCCCAGCTGCAGTCCGCGTCTGTGCAGCGCATGCCCCTGGTAACGTTAAGCGCCTGGGACGCTCACGGGACCTTTCAGGGCACCAGGCAATGCACCGCGTTCACTGAGAACACACGAGCACAAAGCACATGCGGGGACGCGCACACGCCTTAGCGTCACCCGCCTGCTGCTTCCATCGCCTCCGGGCAGGTAGCTGAGCAAGGGAGGAGCCGGGCTCTGTCCGTCCACACCAGTGCTCCAGGAGCTGGGCATGATGGAAGCTGGGCCCACGGCAGAGCGGTGCCTTGTGAGGGCAGTTTGCCTTCCTGGGACCCGGGAGTTCCACACCATCCTGCTTCACTCGTCACCGTTTGGGGAGGGCTTGTTTGCGCACCTTGCTCCCCGCACATCCCAGCTCTTGTCCCCCCAGACGGGTACCTGCCTGGTCTGCGCCTGGTCTGTCCCTCTGTCTCTCATCTGCATCGCAACAGGGGTGCACAGCAATCTCCTGGCGCCATTACATCCGTCCACGGCTTCTCCCTGGAACATCTGGTCTGGTGCTGCCGTTACACTTATCTTCTAATGCACTTGCCTAGACTTTAGTAAAGCATCTGGTACAGTCCCACGCAATCATCGTATCAATAAACTGGGCAAATACGACCTAGATGCGGCTACTGTGAGGCGGGGGAATAACCGGCTGGATAACCGGTCTCCGGGAGTCGTTATTAACGGTTCACAAGCCTGCTGGAAGGGCAGAACAAGTGGGGCTCCGCAGGGGTCTGTTCTGGGTCTGGTTCTGTTCAATGTTTCCGTCCATGATTTAGATATCGGCATGCAGAGGACGCTCATTAAGTTTGCAGATGATCCCAGGCTGGGAGGGGTGGCGAGTGCTTTGAAGGGCAGGGCCATACTTCAAACTGATCTGGACAAACTGGAGAAAAGGTCAGAGGTCAATAGGAGGAAGTGCCTTCCTCAGTGCAGCACTTTGAATTTGTCCTTATTCAACTTCATCCTGTTGGTGTAACAAGCGTCCTCTCTGTGCCAGTATCTAAATGGCTGATGAAGATTGAACAGAACCGGTCCCAGAACAGAGCTAGAGTTGCCTGGTGTCCAGTATTCAGCCAGACAGTTCGGTTTTTTGGGCCCTCTGTCTGGTAAAAAAAATCAGAAAATACCGGCCATGTGCAATGTTTGGTGTTTTCTGGCTGGGCGCTGACGGAAGCCTGGCGGGGCCAGAGGAGCGGCTGGGAGGTGGGGCCCTGGTTGCCTCTGATGTAGGAGTGACGCCTTGGGGAGGAGGGGGAGCCCTGTCTGTGCTTCTGGGCGCTGGTCAAGGGCATTGTGGAGCTGTAGTTGGACTCACTCGTGCTTTGCCGGGACCATGCACAGGACAGACAGCGCCCTGGGATCTGCATGTGCCTGGGTCAGTCCCGCTCCCCGCCAGCTGATTCGCTCCCCCCCCCAAGCCAGCCCTGCTCCCCCACCCTCCTCCCAATCAGCCCTGCTTCCTGCCATCTGGTTCTCCTCCTCCGGATCTCCCCGGGCCAGCCCCACTCCCCACATCAATTGTGTCCGGTATTTTTTCTGAAGCTGTCTGGTAACCCCATGTGGAACCCCACTTCTTCTGTCAGAGAAATATATATTTAACTAAAGGCCTAAAAGTCTATCCCTACCTTAACATACAGCATTCATTACTACATTATTACACCTAAAATACAAATAGAAAACTCTCCCTCCAACAAGCCTGGTTTGCAGTCAGTGGGAAATTGTGTCCGGTATTTTTTCTGAAGCTGTCTGGTAACCCCATGTGGAACCCCACTTCTTCTGTCAGAGAAATATATATTTAACTAAAGGCCTAAAAGTCTATCCCTACCTTAACATACAGCATTCATTACTACATTATTACACCTAAAATACAAATAGAAAACTCTCCCTCCAACAAGCCTGGTTTGCAGTCAGTGGGAATTGCAAGCCGCAGTCCCTGCAGAACCACCCCAGGATCTGGGTAGAGGCATCCATGGTCAGGTGGTCTGTCTGGCTACAGGCGCCGGCAGAGGAGACAGGAGCAGAGCTGGCGCAGGTCCTGGGGGTCTTCCTGACCATCGTAGGACTCCTTCTTAAACTCCCCTGTCTGCAGCCCCTGTCCACTTCGCTCCCCTGCTCGCTCTGCCTCTGGCTTTTAAAGCCTGCTCGCCTAGGTCAGGCCCCACCCTCGTTAGTGACACGGGAAGGCTGATTCTGAGGCTGATCCAAGACAATGACGGGAACAAAGGTTCAAACACCCCCAGACACACCATCCCAACCGGCACAGTCGCTGAAATCACCTGACGTCAGAATCAGAATTCAAGCAGCCGAGCACACGCACTCACACCAAGGCTGGCGGGTCTCCTGCTCTCCCCTGTCCGTGGCCCCCTGTCCGCTTGATGTCCTGGTTCCCGGTTTGTAGCTTGCAATAACTCTCTGGGCCGTCTCCTGTCCCGGTGGCTGCAGGACAACGACTCCCGGAACCCGATCAAGTGCCTGCGGGTGAAGCCCAGCAAGATGAAGAACCGGTTGGAGGAGCAGCGCTGGTGGTTGCTGGAGCGATGCCGGTTGAACATGCAGGGGCCGACAGTGGAGAGGGACACCCTGCTGGCAGAGCTGGAGGAAGAGCTGAAACCGAAGACTGAGACATTCCTACAGACCTATAGGAAGCGCTTCACAAGATCTGCTGTTGGGGCAGGTGTTGCTGTGGGGACAGTGGTCCTGGCACCGGTGGGAGGAGCTGGGGGGGCCGGGGTTGTTGCTAGAGGGCCAGGGCAGGGAGCAGACAAAGTGAGGAGGGGGATGGCGCTGAGGATCCATCCGACAAGGATCCCCTGATCTAAACAGCACCCTCTTGCCATAGGTCACCCCAGGGCGGGGGAGTCACCCAGGTTCTGGTGAGGGGCGTGTAGCTCATCTCGTCTGAGCCTGGCTGGAGAACACCGCACCCTCTCCTGCGCTAGCCCGGGCCAGGGCAGGGAGCAGACAAAGTGAGGAGGGGGATGGCGCTGAGGATCCATCCGACAAGGATCCCCTGATCTAAACAGCACCCTCTTGCCATAGGTCACCCCAGGGCGGGGGAGTCACCCAGGTTCTGGTGAGGGGCGTGTAGCTCATCTCGTCTGAGCCTGGCTGGAGAACACCGCACCCTCTCCTGCGCTAGCCCAGAGGTCAGGGCACAGGGCGATGGGGACTGAGCTCCCTCCTCCAGCCTGGGTTTCCTCCCTGACCTCGGCAAGTCACTTTGCTTCTCTGTGCCTCACTTTCCCATCTGTGTAATGGGGACAATAATACACTGAAGGATGGCAAAAGGCTCGGAATGCTTCTGAGAGCGCATCGGTATTAAACATGGATATTTCTGGGCTGGGATCCAGCCACCCCTAAACCTTCCCTTTGCATCCCATCTTCCTAAGCATGGCCTGGAAACCTCACCTCAGTGCCGCAGGGTCCATAGCAGGGCAAAGGAACAGTCATGTGAGATTCTGATCCGCCTCAACAGGCCAGGTCAGGGATGTTCTGCTGGTTCTCTTAGTCTTGGACTCTAAGCGGTGATTTTATTTTTATTTCTTAGGTGAGCAGCTGTGATTGCTGTGCCTGCTGCTTGTGATCCCTAAGGATCTGTCTGTCTGGCACCAACTAATCCCTTTTACATGTTACCTACAACAGTGTGGTTTTGGTTGAAGCACTTAGAGAATCTCAGCTCAGGCTAACAAGGGGAAATTAATGAATGAGCTTGCTCTGCCTAAGGCAGTGTTGATCAGTGGCTGGGGGTGTTGAACCCTACCCCTGCATTCTCCCGGAGCTAAAGGGGTTCAGTTGTCCACTTCGCTCCCCTGCTCGCTCTGCCTCTGGCTTCCTCTTTTTCCGGAAAATCAGCGGCTTTTTCAGAAAAACTTGCCAGCTGTCTACACTGGCCGCTTGAATTTCCGCAAAAGCACTGACTTCCTACTGTCTGAAATCAGGGCTTCTTGCGGAAATACGATGCTGCTCCCGTTCAGGCAAAAGTCCTTTTGTGCAAAAGGGTCACTGTAGACAGCTCAGATTTGTTTTGCGCAAAAAAGCCCCGATGGCGAAAATGGCGATCGGGGCTTTTTTGCGGAAAAGCGCGTCTAGATTGGCACGGACGCTTTTCCACAAAAAGTGCTTTTCCGGAAAAGCGTCTGTGCCAATCTAGACACTTTGTTCCGAAAATGCTTTTAACGGGAAACTTTTCCGTTAAAAACATTTCCGGAAAATCATGCCAATCTAGACGCAGCCAGGGTATTTACCCCGACTTTGTGCCTTGTCTGGGGGACCACGAGGGTCTGGCCCAGCAAGACAGGGAGGTGGGGAGCCCAGAGAGCAAGCAGGCAGGTGTTAGTGGCATAATTGGCTCTCTAAGGGTCACTCCCCAAAGGACTTCTCTGACCACCCCCAGTCACAGCTGCATCGTGGGTGGCACATATTTGAGCTTAGCTATCCAGCGACCCTAGAGATGTGTGGCTATCGCAACCCACAGTCATGGGAGAGGGGCTAAGTACAAAGCAAGGGTTCAAATAGCGGGGCAGAGACCCACAGCCAGCCACGGGAGGAGGCGGAGGGCGACCCCCTGGGACGTGGGAGGCCACCTCGCTGCTGACTGGCTCCTGCCCCGCTATCAGCCAAGCGCCCGGTCATCGGAGCCCAACGCCCGACCCCGCAGTGGCCGGAGAGGGGAAGTAGCCGCGCCCGGGAGCGCATCGCTCCGGAGGGGCCGGGGAGGAGGCCGCAGGGAGACGCTTCCAGGGGCTGGTTCTTAAATGGGACCTTGGCACCAGACGGGCCTTGGCGGGTCCCCTGCAGGAAACGTGCGTCCGGTCCAGTGAGAGCCGCCCGGCCATTTCCCGCACAGCGCCCCCCAGGCCGCCCCCCCGGGCTGGCGCCTCCTCGCTGCTGGGCGTCCCCTTTCGGCCAGACCTGCCCCCCTCCCGGCTCAAAGCGGGGGGGAGGGGCCTACAGAACCCCTCCCACCCGTAAGGGGGAGGAGCCTGGAGAGCCAGATGCTGCCCCGCCCACCGCCTGTGTTCCTGGCCCCCAGCTGGTGCCGGCGCGGCAGCATTTCCGCCTGGAGAAGCGAAAG